ATAATTTCCAACAGAAAATTGTCAAAATATACCCAAAAGTGTTGTTTCCCTATATAAACTATAGTAAACTTTACCCCCTCCCCAAGGGAGAACGGATAGCTTGGGGGTCCTGAAATTTACAATTTAAATAAAGCCCCTGATGATGTGTCCATCCATGCAGAGAAAATGACTGTAATACCTCTGAGTCTTGAGAAGAAGATTTTTGAAATATTGGTTAATGTTCCCTTTTGGGCCCCGCCCTGGCCCCTAGGGTTGGGGTAGGAATCCCAATTTTACAATTTGGTAGCTTCATCTACCAAGGATAATTCTGACCAAGTTTGAAAAAAATTCCATCCACCGGTTCTTGAGAAGAAGTTGATAATGTAAAAAGTTTACGCACGACGCACGACGACGGACGGAAAGTGATTGGAACAGGTCACTTGAGCAAAGCTCAGGTGATCTAAAAAGGTAAAATGTGCAAGAATACTAAAAATCATAATGCATGATTTTTTTCCTCTTCTTATAATAAGTGCGTAGCTCACGGGCGCCAAACCTCTTTAATGGTAACACATGCATGCGTATACAGAGTTGCTTCCCCTTGTTACACATTGCCTTCATTTTTTTTCGTCCGGAAATAGACGTCCTCTGGGGAAACAGGAAGCGTATCCTTGAAGCAAAGACAATTGTGTTTCAATCCAAACATGAACATCTTCATGTAGTGAAAGCAATCCTCATGTTTTATTACTTGTTTATGTAGATAAAAACTAACATATTACATTATGAGTGAAAAAAATTGATCACATAAATTATGATACTAGCAGCAAGGAAACATCGTCCAGAGATTATCATACTATGACGTCACAAGCATGTGTCACACTCCATTGACCTTCATCGGTTATTTCCCGAAGGATGAAAAATAACCGGAAAATCTTGGAAATGATGTCTGTTGCATTTATCTCTTTTTATTTCAGTTTTTGCCACAGGCACAAAAAGTAAAAAATGCAGATGTTTTCTGAAGATCAACCAGGTTCTGTAAATATTCCTACCTGGAGATATCTTCAAAAAGAGACGCATTAAACTAATAGGTCAACGCATATACATGTATTTGTTTTCATCGTCTAAAATTTCATCAGCTTTTGATTTCCATTTTTTGAGAATTTCAAATTCAATCCAGTGTGTCAGAATGGAACAGGAATTGAGACTACATATCGATGTAACGAAAATCTCAGTAACATAAAGTTTATATCACAATGTTGTTGTTTTTTCCTTCTTTTTTTAACTAACATCTCTATACATTTATTTAGACTCATTGTCAAATATGTATAATGTACCTATAGCAATTAACTAATGTTTTCCCAAACTTATCTCAATCATTCTTTTTGTGCCCTGACAGAAGCACGCAGAGGATTTAATTCTTAATGTGGGAGGAAGATGGAGTTATCCGGAGAAAACCCACGTGGTCGGAATTGCTTCTTTTTTTTAAGGTCAAACGTGTAACACACTGACAGTTTAAAATTATATACATAATAGCCAAGCCAAGCACTCACTACCATATTGCTGTACAATAAGAGTTTATTGAAATATCAATTTGGGCCCGGACACGTTCGGCCAATGTCATACCGTGGCAAGTTCGGCCCATGTAACACATAAAAATTCGTAAAATTGGCGGTAAAATCTGACTTTGCATGCTTTATGATGTCATAATTCAGCTGATCTCCCCTATTATTTTGTCGTTCTTAGTCTCATTAGAGCTTATGTTTTATTGTTATTCCTCGACTAGCCGACTTTAAATAAAGTTTATCTTATCTCATTCCGAAAGCAGTATTCTGAATCAGTAGATATCAGAAATCAACAAAAGCTATGCTCTTTAAGGCTTTGCCTTTTTATATAATATCCAAAACCATTTAGCATTGCCATTGGCTCTACTATAGACCACTGTAACTTGTTACCTGCAAACTTTTTTCTCCTGAAAGTGAAATATGCTTTTACATTTTCAATAGATTATCCATGTTTGTGGTATTATCACTATTACCTTAGGAATGGCAGTATGATGAGAACGGTTTCATGAAGTCTTTGTCTTGTCATGACTGGGAACCATGGTTCAACTAAAACTGAATGAACTGATGACAACTGACCAGAAGCTGTCTGCTTCCTTTTGACAGTGGATCAACGTTAAGTCGACGCTTTCCTTCAGCTGACAATGGCAAAAAACATTTACACCACCCTGATGTAGAGTCTAATAAATGTACTGGTACCGGAAACGGAACAAACATTACCCGTTATTTTGCATTCGTTAGTAAATGTGATGGGATTAAAAGAAAATTGAGCGTGTAATTATTGGAAACAAATGATTCTTATAAATATTTTGTCACACTCAAAGTATTGGATTTTGCACATTGGTAAAAAAGGATTTATAGTTTTTTTAGGCCGTAAAGTAGAACTTATTTTTTTCTACTTCTGATTTAGATCAATTTCTATGTTAAGGTAATTCTTAAGCTATTGGTTTTATAGTTAGCAGAATATTGGACTGATATTTTTCATTTGTACATCAATACAATTTTCCTTTTATGATATTTTTAAATAACGGTTTTCGACAACCAGGCACGTAAAGCTCTGTCATGTATGTAAATATAATCAGTTTCACACACAGAAAAAAATCTTCACGCGTACTATTTAACTTGTATATCTCGTATGTAATAGTGTCTAAATGTTTGCACGGATTATGAAAATAACAAGTTTTTCCTTTTTTGTCCATTTACCAGAACCGATATTTTTTTACGCAAAATTATTTTTTTGCAGCATTGCTATCTCATCTACGTTCATCGAACTGTTACTATACTAATACTTGTGAAGGCGGAGTGAAGTCGTTTCTGGTGCGCATCATGCTATTTTCAGAGTTTTGGCCCTCAGTGTTCCTTTTTTCATCTTTTTTTTTCATCTTTTTTTTTTATGAAGAGTTCGACGATGGACGAAGGGAGACAATCCGTACAAGTGTTTGGGGGGGGAGGCAGGAGGGGAGAGATGACGTAGATTAGACCAGGGACAGTATTATACATCCCTGATTAGACCAAGTTCATATTTCAACAAACCCAAGAAATGATTCAACCTTCCGGAGTAATAAGCTACGAATGTACAGTTTTGTGATATATTTTGTTTTAAAAATGAACCAGAAGGGTTTTGCCCCTAATGTACTCTATTTTTCTCGTTAAATAATATCAAAATGTTGTAACAGTTAGGGTACCAGTTCACGTAAAGCTCATTTCCTCTTGCATTATGCCTAAAGAAGGAGGAGAAGAAGTTCATTTAAATGTCGATAGATCCAAGGGTTCATCTCCCATGGGGTTAACAAACCAAACTTTGTTACAACATGACTTAGGGTATATATAGGTGTATAAGATTTTGGGGAAAACGCATATAGACTAGAATTGAAGCTCAGTATTCCTGGTTGAAATAAGAAGATAAGTCACAACTCTTTATGATACATTTCTAGCTAATTATCAGTGCTTTACAATTAAGTTACATTTGAATTTATTTTAACATGGATCCGAGAACTTGTTACAGTCAGGGACAGTATATAGAGGGGATTGGCAACTCTGCCCCAGTCAAGATTCTATAGCACGTCGCTTTTGTTTTTGTTCACCGAACCGCGAAGTCATCGAGAGCACCTCTCGATCAGCCCGCGTTTGCGCACTAGCGTTAAAATCATGTCACCAATCTCGCCGAGATGGGAGTGTTTTGATAACGGTTAGCCCTGATTGGGCTGTGTATTAGTAGGTCTTCTTTTTCACTATACGTCCCTGTTACAGTACATCTCTTTAAAAATGCCACCTACAGTGATGGCGTATTAACCTTAAGTTGATATATACCTTTAAAATGTTTCATATTAATCTGAACACGTCAATTAAGGTCCAAGCATAGCTGCTTGACTGAAATTCGTTACCTCGCATAATGATAACGCATTACGTTACGGTAAAAAAATGCAACTGTCCTGAGAGACGTATGTATTTATATGTCTCTGTTGTACTGAATGACCTTTTCATATTTTACAGAATACTGAAAGTATGATATCTTGAATTTTATTTTATTTCATTATTATATTTTTTTCAGGTGTAAAAAGTTAAATTAGGGTCGCATTCGCATATTCCGGTTAAACGGTTTGAAGCACGGACTTAGATAATCTAATTCCGTGTTTGAACACATTAAGGATGTACTCTCCTGAGGTTTCAATCACGTTCAAGTCTCGTTTTGATCTGGTGTAACGGGTTTTTGTAATATTTAACAAATTATGATCAAGTTTATTAGCAAACACGCATCTAAAAAATATGTCAAAAAAATAGATGCCTGTTGTTTGTAGAACTTTTTTTACTAGAATTTAAAAAAAATACCAATTCAGCGGCCATTTTGAAAAGGTGCATTAATGTGTATTTCTTGCGCATCAAAAAAGGCAAAAATTTCACCATTTTTGACACTAGATTGATCACTTAAATTGCCATTATGTCGCCATTTTTAATTGTAGTAGGTTCAATTTTGCTGTACAACTTTAAAATGTTTAATATGATAAAAATAATATGCAACAAACTGGAAAATTATACATTATTGATAAAAAAAATACATTTTTAGTGTAACTGAAGTAATTTTGATTTTTGACCCCGAAAAATGTAAAAAAAAATAACACAAATGATAATGGGACAAAAAAAGAAGCACACTGACCCCCCATTTTTGTGGATGTTTTAGAAAGAGAAATACATTTTTTTTTTAATTCATTAAATATTCAAAAAAGTTTAATAGCAGAACTTTTTATATCAAACGTTTAATCTGCAAAAGATGTTAAAAAATAAGTACTTTTTCATTAAAAAGTAGGGGGTAGAGGTTAAAAAAATCGGCTTTCTAAGTTAAGAGAATAAGATTAAGAAATTTTACTTCCATAATTTAAACACACTTGGAAGAAATTGAATGAATTTTTTTTGCAAATGGTCAAAACCCAAACAATCACCTAAAAGCACATGTTGTGTTTAATTGGTATCTTTGACAGATCATAGCACAAAAACGAACACACGGACATATAGTTTTTATTGCGTTTTCTACTATGCCATTAACTCTTTTTTCCTAAAATCTATATAAGAAAAAAAGTTTAATACAGGAATTTTTTGACTTCTCAGAGGTGTACATCCTTAACGAACGTACATGGACCAAGCTGTATATAGAGCTAAAAAGGCACAGCTACCGAGTTTTCTGACAAATAAATAACAATATATATATCAAGAATAATTTGTCTTTCTTACACGTACCCACTTACACGTTATAAATTATAGTCGACCTTAATTGTTTTATAAAGAAAAAGTTAAAAATAGAAATAGTCGGCATTTTAGTTTCGGTCAGGCACGTCTGAACCTCTTACATGTAATGTGACATGTACTGAAGATCTGAGTCTGTGGTTTAGCTATAGCTAGTTGAAACGATGGAACTGGATACGCGAAAGGGTCCTCTGATATAGTTTTGTACGTATTCCGGATATGCCTTACCGGTGTCAAAGTCTTATTTTACAATGGTCTTCACACCGGAAACGTCAAAAAATAGAACTTGCACGGTTGAATTGTTTTGGGTTTCGCGTCTAAGTGAGCAACAACATGTGTCAATACAAACAATCTCATGTTTATTATGCAAGGTGAACGAAATGCTACTTCATAGTCTCTTTGCTCACTCGTATGTCTAGTTTAAAAATAGCCATAGGTCTATTGCAAGGTTATAGAACCTTATGTTTTGACAGTTGTATAACTCTCACTGTATGTAAACATTGCGTTAATATTGTTATCAGCTGATTCCTCAATTTTTTTTTCCGGGAATATCGTTTTCACAGTAAGCGAAAGTCTGCTGATTTTTGCATGTGAATAGATTTAAGGGTGCATTTGTGGCGAATTTTTCTATACACCAATGTGTCCCTGGGAGCAAAAATCCCATGTCACTTTGACTGATGGGTTCTAGCAACTCGTCAAACAGACAGGATCAAAGCCAGAGGATGACAGAATCAGCAGAGAACCCCGCTGCTGGAGCAGAAGAGGAACAGACAGATCTCCAGGCCATTATAGCTTATCTTATACGAAGGTGATGAGCCCAAAAAGTGGGAAATTACATTGCACAATTTAATTATCTTTCTTATGAACAGGTCGGGGAAAACCACTAACTTGCGTATGATACGCAAACTCGCCTATTATACGTCAATTGGGGTATGGATTTGTTACTAAAAATAGATAAAATCACTTTAATCCTAACTTTTTCAAATTGTTTGTCCAAGTCGCATTTATTTAGTCATGAAACATCATACAAATGCAAAAATAAACTTTATTTGCAAGTGGGAAAGTACCAAAAATAGATGCATATTTCCGGTAGAGTTACATCAAGTTTCTATGTAGCCAACGCTTTCAGTAAACATCTTTTAGCAAAATATTATTTACCTTGTCGTAAATTAATGCGATTTTCAAAAGTTACTGTTAAAACGATTTGGGTTATTTTTAGTAACAAATCCATACTCCAACTGGCGTATATGATATATGGATTTTGCATATTATATACAAGTTGGTGGTTAAAATCCCCCAACCTGATGAATGGATGGCAGGATGCCAATATTCTTTTATGTAATTTAAGTGTAACAGCAGATTATGAATGCTGTAGGGCCCGGGCCAGATCAGGACTTTATTAGATCTCCAAATTGATATATCATGATACTGTTCTTCAGATATAAACCATAATATATTCTTTTTCTCTAGGAATTTGCTTCACAGTTTGTAATAGTTAATATTGTTTTGAAGTTTTGTCATCACCAACAGCAAAGTTCTTAGTCAGTGTATTTTTAGGTCACCTGAGCTTTAGCTCAAGTGACCTATTGCTATCCGTCTTCGTCCGTCGTCTGTTAACATTTTACATTTTCAACTTAAACTGAAATACTGGCAAAGGAATTTCATTAATATTTCATGGGAAGGTTACTGACATCTCCCCTCCCTGACCAAGTGTTGTTATTTTTCAGGTCGATCAGACATCCAATATGGCCACCACAGATGCCATTTTGAAAAACTATTTCAATTTAACCTAAAGTCAAGTTCTGCTAGGCTGATTGAACTGAAACTTTGTAGGAATGATCGACTCATGGTCCTGACAAACATGTTGTTATTTTTTACGGGTTGATCAGAAATCCAATATGGCCGACATGGCCGCCAATTTGAAAAACTATTTCAAACTTAAAGTCAAGTTCTGCTAGGCCGATTGAACTGAAACTTTGTAGAAATGATCGACTAATGGTCTTGACAAAGTGATGTTATTTTTCGGGTCGATCAGAAATACAAGGCCGCTATTTTGAAAATAACTACAAACTTAAGTTAACGTTATACTTAACTATTTTTTTACTCAAATTGGTAAATATTTCAACAACAAAAATAAATACTTTAGGACTCAGGTGACCGTTAAGGCCCATGGGCCTCTTGTATAATTTAATTGCTATATGAAGCTATATAAATATTTTGGCAGTCTGATGATAAGAGGTCTTATTTGAAAAGTATATGCTCATATATAATTACTATGTGAAACATAGTTTTTGTATGATTTCCAAATCAATATACTGTATGTATAGGCACTTTATAAATTGTGATTCATGTAATGAAATAATGGCATTAATGCTGTCTTGAAGTAATACAGTAGCTTTGTAGTTTAAGCCCACCACTATTATATTTGAATTAAAATCACCATCAAATTTTAATGGAAAAGTCTCAGACTTATACATGTGTTGCATATAAAGATAATTGATCTTTATGTTTGTACAGTGGACAAGTTAGAATCCTCAGACATGAAGATGACAGCAATGTAGAAGACGAGGATGAAGATGATACTGAATTTTATGGACCTGCTAACCCTCCAACAGGTAATTATATATATATGGATACACAAATGCATTTCCTAATATTCAAATTGGTTTTATTTTGTAAAATTAAAATGTATTTATATCTATTCAATAGTTAAATGGTATGAATTATTTGAAACAAAGATATGAAGCTTATTGAAATCTGCCTAAATTAAAACCATAGCCTGGAATCAAGATTTTCAATTATACTGACTGTAAAAGATTGGCTTTGGATTGCATACTTAAAATTTATGAAGAAATGTATACAATTGAACCCTTGTCATTACACAAATAGTATAACAAGAGTTTGTACTTAAATCAGATCATGATCCATGTATTGAATGTAGTGGTTTATATGTAACCTTGGTAAATACTAGCCGCAACCGGCTGTACATAGAGTTCAGAATAAGCAGGTTATAATGTGCATAGTGAAATAAGTTGAGGAATCATGCAAATTAAAGACTTCAGTTTTCTTTAATAAAAATTAACTAATTTTAAAATATACAAAATAAAATTACTATCATCTGTGTAGTATAGAAATCATGTCTGCTAGTTCTGCCAGTAAATTGAGCTTGTTCAACTGAGTGTTTTCTTGCCTTTTCACATTTTCTTTTTATAATGTATTTTGTAGCTGACCGAAATCCAGATACAGGTTTATTAGAGGTAAGAAAAAGTTTCACAAATACACAAATTAGATTATTGATACGCTGTATTGTTCTAAAGTGCCAGTATCACATGTAGGTATAAACAAAACATGTAGTGTTTGGAAATACACATGTTCAAATAAATTATTGGCAGAAGAGAAATATCATACACTGTATAAATAGAACATGCAGTGATTTTAATAACTAACTTCTTGTCTTTAAAGTTTAAAAATCAATTGTTTTCCCCTATTTTTCCTATCTTTGTCATTAACAACATTTTCTGTTTTGTAGAAAAGCGACCTGAAACAGTTAATACTTGGACAATCTGGCCGAACCCAGAAGCGACCACGAATGTCTATACCCACACTTCCACACATGATCCAGAATGTAGGCATAATACATACATTAGTAGTGATTTGTTGAAAGCAGAATTCTGTCCTGAGCACAGCTTCTTTGGCTGGGACTCATTTCTAGATATTAAGTTGAATTTTGTTTTTGAAACTCTCTACAAAAAAAAAACCTGATCTGCATACATATGTTGATTTTATTAGAATTGAAAGTTTGGTTTGTCTTGATCTGCAATGACTAGCATTGAAAAACACATTAACACATAGACAAGTAATATAATAATGATACAAGATAAGTGGTTCTCTGGCATCATGCGTAGTAATGACGACAGTGTATAGTGTGGTTCATGTAGGTGTCACACTGAGAGGTATTATACTGGGGGAGGGGACTTCGGTATACAAATAAGGACAGAATATTGATGAGTTATGTATGTCTTTTCAGAGAGAAATTGGTGCCAACAGATTTCAGCAGTTTACTGGTGGTGACAGACGCATTATAGGATGTCAGTAAGTCATTCATTGATTGATGTCAGTTCATTAAGTTACTTACTAAATCTTAGGATGCTATTAATTCATTCATTGAATTTTAGGACGATGATCATTTATTAATTAAATCTAAATTTGTTGGTAATTCATTTATTGAATTTTAGGACGATGATAATTTGTCAATTAAATCCAAATATGATGCTGATTCACTCCTTGAATATAAAAGATGTTGGAAAGTATTATTCATTGAATCTTTGGATCTCAGTAATTTATTTGCACACCAGGCATGAAACGCCTGTGGACTTTTGAGAAGGTGTGGTGTCTGTTGTCCATCTGTCAATTTCTTTGCTTATCTGGTTTATGTTAACCAAGTCGAAGCAGGTTTAAACTTAACATTATATGTTATGTTATCAGTACAAGAGTTTTAAATCAGCAAAACCTGTAAAGTTTCAGTTAAGAATAATAATTTGACCCTGTCTAATCAGTTGTTGTTAAAGGTACAACATAGCATGTATGTATGTATTGGTTACACTAAGGTAATTACTAATCATGAAATTTTGTTTTCTTAATGGCTGGAAATACATGTTTATAATTTTCAGTTACATTAGATTCATCATTAAGAATGAAATCGCAAAAATGTGTTAAAAAATAAAATATAATGAAAGAAATAATATTATAAAAATATAATAAATGAAACAATATAATAAAAATATGATATTAAATCATATTATACAAATAATATAACAGAATAATAAAGAAGTCATATGAAGAATGAGTGAGGTAACATATCCTTAAGTTAAAAATCTATAGGTCATCAACAGTTTGGTTCTTTATCATACTCATATATCAGATTTTAGGTGAGTAACTTTATAAAGATCACTTCTCAGTATCTTTGGATGCTAAACCAGTTAAAATTCACTATTTTGTAATGTAGAGTTATGTCCCTTCGTTCCACAGATTCCTTCCTAATCACCAGGATGTGGTGGCCAAGTATCACCACAAAGTTTTCTGTGGGACTTTCTCCAAAGAGGGAAATATATTCCTCACAGCGTGCCAAGGTAAACATGTTTTGTAAACATATAACAATGCTACGCAGTAAACATACAATTTGATGCAGAAAGATATTTTATTAATATTGTTTTGTTATTTCAGATGTAAATTTATGCAATAGATATATTGTTGGTGTGACATTGCATTACAGTGATGTGACATTGTTGACATCCAGAGTGCCCAACTCTGCACTGGTCGACATGTCTAATTTTGTGATTTTCAATGTGAATTCCATTAGTGTCAACCTCTGAAACCTCCAATGAGGGAGATCACCCTCATTCCACATTTCCATTGAGGGATAATGAGTGTGAAATGCAACCGAAACTGCTTTGCTCAATTTATGTTTCTCTTTATACATAACAAAATATCTCTAAAAGGTATCCATTTGATTCAGGCACACCTGTTATGGTATCATTTGACCACAGGATGTAGATTTTGAGTCTGTGTGAGTTTGGACTTGAATGAGGGAGTTTTGAGGGAAATTGGTGAATGTTGGTAAAATTGAGGGAGTCTCTTTCCTAATAAGTAAGATCTGACAGCTATTGCAAAAAAAAGAGTACTTTTCAAGGTCATTTGGCATTTTATCTATTTTCTCTATTATAAAGTCATTATTTTATCTTTAAGTCTGTGATGTCAATTTGTTCATTTTATGATGTGACATAGAGAATAATACATGCCTTTTTCCATATCACACCCAGTATCAACCCGAGACTGCAATATCAGCCCAAGGGCCGAAGGCCCGAGGGCTGATATTAGTCGAGGGTTGATACTGGGTGTGATATGGAAAAAGTGATGTTTTATTCTGTTTATTACATACTTACTTATAAAAGCTACTATCTTATGATAAATTTTTCTTTTGAAATATTGAAAAACGAAAAAAAAATCCAAAAGGGGTATGGAAAAAGTCATGATTTATTCTGTTTATTACATACTTACTAATAAAAGCTACTATCTTACGATAATTTTTTTCTTTTGAAATATTGCAAAACGAAAAAAAATCCAAAAGGGGTGTGATACGGGTTTTGCGGGCTGATACAGGTTTTGGGGTGTGATACGGCGAGGGCTGATATGGGTAAGAGCAATTGTGTCGTATCGCATATACAAAAAACCCGTATTTATTAGTAAGTATGTAATAAAATGTCATATTACATGAGTTCATATAAAAAATATGACATGGATCTGTTCACTGAATAACATGATACTCTTTTGATAACTATATATATCATATAGTACTTTGGGGATTTTATGTCGTTCTTGATCTGTATCTACCAGGATATATATACATAACTATATTACATGATGTATATAAGTCAGTGATTTGTTTTGCTCAGTTTTACTACCAATACAAATTATGCTTTATTTTTTCAATTCATAAAGGAACACTAGATACTTGCCAACACTCCCTATTAAGAAGCTAGGGAGACTCCAAATTTTGGACCCTAAAACCGCGCATTTTCAACCAGTCAATTTGCTAAACTATTCCTATCTTTTAAGATTGGATGATTTCATTTGAAAGAACAACTCAAAAGATGCCATATAAAAGCATTATTTTCCCCTTGGGTGTACATACACACATATTGTTTATACTTTTAGTTCTGAGTACGCGTAATCTACCCCATGGAAATTTGAAAAAGTTGGCAAGTATCGAACAGGCTGTTGTAAAATTTAGGTAACAAAAACACTTTCAGTACATCTATATTAACTTTTTTCAGATCAACATATACGGATATATGATACAACTAGGGGCAACTTTAACCTGCTCAAGACGATACGAGCCAAAGATGTTGGATGGAGTATCCTGGATACAGCCTTCAGGTATTGTAACACGGTGTTAGGTTTGTAGTGTAATGCTGGAGATATGGCAAGAGCAGCAGTATCAAAGGTTTGATATCATAAATAAACCTATACTTTTACTTGATAAAAAAGTTGTATTATTTTTACAGAAACAAGTGTTTTGTTGATGTCAAATTTAACTGTAAGATTTTTGACAAATTGCTACATGACATTACAAGTTGTACACTGTACTGACATTGAACTCTGACCGTCTTTGTTTTACAGTCCTGACGGTAACTACATCATCTACTCCAGTTGGTCTGATTGCAGTAAGTACCAAGTAGGGTTGGTTTGCAGAGATTGTGCCACTAGATCAAGCTGAAGAATGTTAATTATCATGATTATAATTGACATTCTTTAGCTTCAACCTCAGATACTTTTTTTTTAAATTGCTTTTACCACATTACTAAAACTAAATATTGGAAGCTACTGTATTGCACATTATTTATTTTTTTCTGTCTTTTTCTGTGGGAAGGGGTGTTCAAACTTTTGTTCCTGAGACAAACAGGCAGTGTTTACACTTTACACAACACCACTAATTATCCCTAGTTTTATACATTCTTTAAAGTGAGCGATGATTCATCATATAATGGAATGCTTTTCAGGCTGTTAACATAGTAAAAATACTCACTTTACAAAACATGCAAGCTAATTATAGAGTACATTTTGTCAGTTTTGATAATTTGTTTGTACAAAGTACTGTGTGTAATGCTTATCACATTGTTATATTTTTTCAGTTCATCTATGCAATATTCACGGAGAATACGATACCCACAATGCCTTGCACCTGTTTCCCGGGGAACACAGCTTTTGTATATTTTCGTTGACTTTTTCCTCTGACAACCGGGAGATCCTAGGAGGGTAAGACACAGCCCAGACTATGTTATTCATTTTAACTCCAAGTATTATAATTATGAATGAATCAGAACTGGTAAGATATGATACAATGGAAATATTATAAGTTGAATACTTTCAAATAATATATGATTGTATAGTGTGAGTGAAAATATTGTGGAAATTAAAGTTCAATCCTATATAAAAAAAAAATGCAGAAGTAATACATTTATTTAAATATTTCAAAAGTTAAAAATAAAGGGCCACATCAAAGACCAAATGTAAAATCAATGCCTATTGCTCATATGTCATGATTGGACAATATCCTGTTATTATTTCACTTGTGTTCTGTCTTCTACTTCTGGTACTGAGTTGGGTTCCATACAGAACGTTATAAACTCAGGCGCATGTCAGCAGACAGCTAAAAACCTCTCAGCATATTTACATTTAAAAACAAATAAAAAGTCACTAGCAAAGGCCTTGACGCCCTCTAATGATGACACTGATGTTATATCTGGAGGGAGCTTATTCCACTGCCTGATGGTCCGTTGGTAAAGGGAGTGCCTGTATGCATCTTTGATGCTACAAATTCCTGGAATTTGTTGGAACCTCATCAGTTGCAGCTGTCTGCTGCAACTAGGTGTTTATGTGGGACGTCGGCTAGTCCATGGGTGATCTTAAATATTATATATATATAATGGCCTGTCAGCATTTGTGATTTTTGTTAAGTGGAATATGACAGAAAAATATGCTATTGATATTTGAATAAATGAGCACTAAAACTGTAAAAGGGTCTGAATCCTATACTGATGTTGTAAGAATGTATTGGACTACATGTTATGTACTGATACTTTTGTCTTTTAGAGCAAATGATGGTTGCCTGTATGTGTACGACAGAGAAAGTAACCAACGGACACTCAGGGTGAGTTACTTATGTGTAAATAACAATGCCTATTCTTTAATGTCACACTTCCTAAATTCATAAAATGTTTCACTAGAATGAATCTAAATTTACTTTTGAGGTTGTACAGCTCTTAAAATGAATGAGATTTTGAGAATTGAGAATGTTTTTAAAGTGAAGAAGGTTTGTGATTCCAGGACTTCTGGTGTAGCCTAACTGTGTCCCTTCCCTCTACTAATCCTACTCCTGTATATAAAGTAACTATGTCCCTTCGCTCTACTAATCCTACTCCTGTGTATAAAGTAACTATGTCCCTTCGCTCTACTAATCCTACTCCTGTCTATAAAGAATAACTGGGTCCCTTCCCTCTACTAATCCTCCTCCTGTATATAAAGTAACTTTGGTCCCTTCCCTCTACTAATCCTAGTCCTGTATATAAAGTAACTTGTGTCCCTTTCCTCTACTAATCCTACTCCTGCATATAAAGTATAACTATGTCCTTTCCGTCTACTAATCCTACTCCTGTATATGAAGTAACTATGTCCCTTCCCTCTACTAGTACTACTCCTGTATATAAAGTAACTATGCCCCTTCCCTCTACTAATCCTAGTCCTGTATATAAAGTATAACTGTGTCCCTTCCCTTTACTAATCCTACTCCTGTATAAAAAGTAACTATGTCCCTTCCCTCTCCTAATCCTAATCCTGTATATAAAGTAACTATGCCCCTTCCCTCTACTAATCCTAGTCCTGTATATAAAGTATAACTATGTCCTTTCCGTCTACTAATCCTACTCCTGTAGATAAAGTATAACTGTGTCCCTTCCCTCTGCTAATCCTACTCCTGTATATAAAGTATAAATGTGTCCCTTCCCTCTACTAATCCTCCTCCTGTATATAAAGTAACTTTGGTCCCTTCCCTCTACTAATCCTCCTCCTGTATATAAAGTAACTATGCCCCTTCCCTCTACTAATCCTAGTCCTGTATATAAAGTATAACTATGTCCTTTCCGTCTACTAATCCTACTCCTGTAGATAAAGTATAACTGTGTCCCTTCCCTTTACTAATCCTACTCCTGTATAAAAAGTAACTATGTCCCTTCCCTCTCCTAATCCTCCTCTTGTATATAAGTATAACTGTGTCCCTTCCCTTTACTAATCCTACTCCTGTATAAAAAGTAACTATGTCCCTTCCCTCTCCTAATCCTCCTCTTGTATATAAGTATAACTGTGTCCCTTCCCTCTACTAATCCTCCTCCTGTATATAAAGTAACTATGCCCCTTCCCTCTACTAATCCTACTCCTGTAGATAAAGTATAACTGTGTCCCTTCCCTCTGCTAATCCTACTCCTGTATATAAAGTATCACTGTGTCCCTTCCCTCTAATAATCCTACTCCTGTATATAAAGTATCACTGTGTCCCTTCCCTCTAATAATCCTACTCCTGTATATAAAGTAACTTTGGTCCCTTCCCTCTACTAATCCTTCTCCTGTATATAAAGTAACTTTGGTCCCTTCCCTCTACTAATCCTCCTCCTGTATATAAAGTAACTATGTCCCTTCGCTCTACTAATCCTACTCCTGTATATGAAGTAACTATGTCCCTTCCCTCTACTAGTCCTACTCCTGTATATAAAGTAACTGTGTCCTGTCTACCTCAGATTGACGCCCACGAGGATGATGTGAATGCCGTGGCCTTTGCCGACAGTTCCTCTCAGATCCTGTTTAGTGGCGGGGACGACGGTTTGTTGAAGGTATGCCTCATACATGTAACCTGTCTATCAACTGATGTACACATGATATAAATTAGTCTATACTTTCATAGGATCTGTGTACTTTACTAAATGCAGTTTAATCAGAATCTCAATATGTCAGATGCTAAAATATCTCTAAATGTTTCATATTTTTCAGAGTCAGATACGGCAATTTTCAAAATTCGTTAATTCAATTTTCAGGAAAGTACGGAAAACATTATGAACAGCCTTTGTCCAGATGAACATGGTTCCACATTTTTGTCAATGACTGTTTTATTGAATTAACTTAAACTGGGATAATTATGCCAACATTCCATAAATGGTTCACCATGTACAATACTTGCTTAACACATATTTACTGTCTGTGTAGGTTTGGGACAGGAGAACCCTGCGAGAGGAAAACCCAATCCCCGTTGGTGTACTGGCTGGACACTCGGACGGTATCACCTACATAGACTCCAAGGTATGGCTGTCATGGCTGTCTGAAACGCTGGTAGACGGCATTAACGAAGGAAATGATCAATTTGAACTGTGTTATACAATGTTGTAAGACCTTCTTGTCATGAAAAATATAGCTGATTTTTATTATGGAAAAAAACATACACATGTAATTGCTGTAAGCATTTTAATGATGTAATTATTTCCTTGGTAAATTTTAACTTGTCCAGAGTTTCCATAGTGTTACAATTTGCATCAGCATTGAATCTAATGGCGAGGAGAAATATATTTTATTTCTAAAAAATATATTTAGTGATCAGAAATATTTAAAAATGATATTTACAAATTTATGGTAAGACGTTATCTACATTTTGATTTGATTGAAGAAACTGGGTAAAAGTTAAGATAATCAAACATCTCACACATAAGGAATTATTGTCCTTTCTGAATGATATTATGTTTGTAACATATTGACCTTACTGTAATGAAACAGAAAGTTGTCTGTAGCTGTATGTGTTGTTCCATCAGGGAGATGCACGGTTCTTGTTGTCTAACTGTAAGGACCAGTCAATGAAGCTGTGGGATGTACGCAGGTTCTCCTCCCAGGAAGGTGTTCAGGTATGTAAAGGCCATCTGTTCTCCTCCCAGGAAGGTGTTCAGGTATGTAAAGGCCATCTGTTCTCCTCCCAGGAAGGTGTTCAGGTATGTAAAGGCCATCTGTTCTCCTCCCAGGAAGGTGTTCAGGTATGTAAAGGCCATCTGTTCTCCTCCCAGGAAGGTGTTCAGGTATGTAAAGGCCATCTGTTCTCCTCCCAGGAAGGTGTTCAGGTATGTAAAGGCCATCTGTTCTCCTCCCAGGAAGGTGTTCAGGTATGTAAAGGCCATCTGTTCTCCTCCCAGGAAGGTGTTCAGGTATGTAAAGGCCATCTGTTCTCCTCCCAGGAAGGTGTTCAGGTATGTAAAGGCCATCTGTTCTCCTCCCAGGAAGGTGTTCAGGTATGTAAAGGCCATCTGTTCTCCTCCCAGGAAGGTGTTCAGGTATGTAAAGGCCATCTGTTCTCCTCCCAGGAAGGTGTTCAGGTATGTAAAGGCCATCTGTTCTCCTCCCAGGAAGGTGTTCAGGTATGTAAAGGCCATCTGTTCTCCTCCCAGGAAGGTGTTCAGGTATGTAAAGGCCATCTGTTCTCCTCCCAGGAAGGTGTTCAGGTATGTAAAGGCCATCTGTTCTCCTCCCAGGAAGGTGTTCAGGTATGTAAAGGCCATCTGTTCTCCTCCCAGGAAGGTGTTCAGGTATGTAAAGGCCATCTGTTCTCCTCCCAGGAAGGTGTTCAGGTATGTAAAGGCCATCTGTTCTCCTCCCAGGAAGGTGTTCAGGTATGTAAAGGCCATCTGTTCTCCTCCCAGGAAGGTGTTCAGGTATGTAAAGGCCATCTGTTCTCCTCCCAGGAAGGTGTTCAGGTATGTAAAGGCCATCTGTTCTCCTCCCAGGAAGGTGTTCAGGTATGTAAAGGCCATCTGTTCTCCTCCCAGGAAGGTGTTCAGGTATGTAAAGGCCATCTGTTCTCCTCCCAGGAAGGTGTTCAGGTATGTAAAGGCCATCTGTTCTCCTCCCAGGAAGGTGTTCAGGTATGTAAAGGCCATCTGTTCTCCTCCCAGGAAGGTGTTCAGGTATGTAAAGGCCATCTGTTCTCCTCCCAGGAAGGTGTTCAGGTATGTAAAGGCCATCTGTTCTCCTCCCAGGAAGGTGTTCAGGTATGTAAAGGCCATCTGTTCTCCTCCCAGGAAGGTGTTCAGGTATGTAAAGGCCATCTGTTCTCCTCCCAGGAAGGTGTTCAGGTATGTAAAGGCCATCTGTTCTCCTCCCAGGAAGGTGTTCAGGTATGTAAAGGCCATCTGTTCTCCTCCCAGGAAGGTGTTCAGGTATGTAAAGGCCATCTGTTCTCCTCCCAGGAAGGTGTTCAGGTATGTAAAGGCCATCTGTTCTCCTCCCAGGAAGGTGTTCAGGTATGTAAAGGCCATCTGTTCTCCTCCCAGGAAGGTGTTCAGGTATGTAAAGGCCATCTGTTCTCCTCCCAGGAAGGTGTTCAGGTATGTAAAGGCCATCTGTTCTCCTCCCAGGAAGGTGTTCAGGTATGTAAAGGCCATCTGTTCTCCTCCCAGGAAGGTGTTCAGGTATGTAAAGGCCATCTGTTCTCCTCCCAGGAAGGTGTTCAGGTATGTAAAGGCCATCTGTTCTCCTCCCAGGAAGGTGTTCAGGTATGTAAAGGCCATCTGTTCTCCTCCCAGGAAGGTGTTCAGGTATGTAAAGGCCATCTGTTCTCCTCCCAGGAAGGTGTTCAGGTATGTAAAGGCCATCTGTTCTCCTCCCAGGAAGGTGTTCAGGTATGTAAAGGCCATCTGTTCTCCTCCCAGGAAGGTGTTCAGGTATGTAAAGGCCATCTGTTCTCCTCCCAGGAAGGTGTTCAGGTATGTAAAGGCCATCTGTTCTCCTCCCAGGAAGGTGTTCAGGTATGTAAAGGCCATCTGTTCTCCTCCCAGGAAGGTGTTCAGGTATGTAAAGGCCATCTGTTCTCCTCCCAGGAAGGTGTTCAGGTATGTAAAGGCCATCTGTTCTCCTCCCAGGAAGGTGTTCAGGTATGTAAAGGCCATCTGTTCTCCTCCCAGGAAGGTGTTCAGGTATGTAAAGGCCATCTGTTCTCCTCCCAGGAAGGTGTTCAGGTATGTAAAGGCCATCTGTTCTCCTCCCAGGAAGGTGTTCAGGTATGTAAAGGCCATCTGTTCTCCTCCCAGGAAGGTGTTCAGGTATGTAAAGGCCATCTGTTCTCCTCCCAGGAAGGTGTTCAGGTATGTAAAGGCCATCTGTTCTCCTCTCAGGAAGGTGTTCAGGTATGTAAAGGCCATCTATTACTCTCACCAGAACTAGAAAAGCTTAGGTAACAATGGCTTCCGAGTCTGAAATTTTCAGTTTCAATATTTAACAAATTGACATTTTAGACCATTAAGAAACAAAGCTTACTTTGGTTTATTGTACACTTACCCGGTACTCCAGTTTTGCAAAAATGCATAATAATTTGGGAATTAAAAATGCTTCAACATCCGGGAATTCAAAATCCTTTAACATTTGAGAAGAGAAATAAAATGTTGAAAACATGTCCCCTGCTATGTTGATGGTCAATGAAAGACGCGTCCTCATCTTTAGTATGATTTAGATAAGACTATTGATAGGAGAAATGTAAGACTAATCAAAATAAACTCAAGGGAGTTGGCTTTTTAACTCGGTCAGTGATTTTCAAAATTGAAATCTTATAATTACATTTTGGATACAAGTTTGCAAAATTGTATACCTATGGAAATTATCAACAAAACAAACTGACGGTGTATGTCAGTTGATGTTGTCCGCACCAAGGAAACTACTGGAGTAGACGAACCAATTTACCTGTTAGAGTTAGGAGGGGTACACTAATGGTTAAACTGAGGTATGATACTGTAGTGATATGCTATCCTTTAATGTAGTCCACGAAGGGCGCGGTGGCCAAACAGAGGTGGGACTATAGATGGCAGCAGTTCCCGAAACGAGGTAAACAAATGTTTCGTCATCAGTATTATTATTTACTTGTTATGATGATAAACTTATGCTGCTTCGTATATTTTGTAAGATTAACTCTCACACAAATTTATTGAAAACTGAATAATAATTGTAAATGAAAGCTTTGGTTCTTGGAAATAATCTATGCTTTTTTAAATGTGACCAGGTGAGTAATATAAACATCGCCAGTAGTGATACAGCTTTTGTTGAATAATATAAGTTATCAATGTATGGTTGTTTCGCTAGTAATAAATGTACCAATATCCATTAGATATAAAAAAAAAAATGGTTTTGAATTCCAAACAGTATCTTGTACAGTCGAATATGCTCAAGCGACCATGTGTTTTATGCGACCACTTTTCATTCCTCCCGACCGTTGTTACTATGTAATTTAACTGTATTAAGCGACCATCTGTCTTACGCGACCAGCGACCACCAAATACTGACCCCCAAACTATGTTTTGTATACTGTATAAAGGGGAATTTTGATTTTCACCCTTCATTATGAGGATGAATTTATTCCGACGGCAAAAATATCACATTTATAGTCATTATATGGACTGGTAAAATTATTACAGGGAAAACCAGGATTTTACTAGGACTAGTGAAGGGCGAACATTTTAAAGTCTTCTGGTATACAGTAATTACGAGAATTTCAAAGTATGTTACATGTGTAGCTATAAATACTGCTAGAAAGCATATGACATCACTGGCAGCTACATCTACACGCTTTAGTATATTCTTGTATTGTCTACAGCCTCTAAGAAGAAGATTCTGAGTGGGGACTCCTCCATTATGACTTACAGGGGTCATTCCGTGCTTAATACACTGATAAGATGTCACTTCTCCCCGGAGTTGACCACTGGTCAGAGATACGTGTACTCGGGTTGTGCCAGTGGAACTATTGTAGGTAAGTATAGGGAGATATCTAAACACAGCATTGTCAACAGCATAAAGTCCACCCAGATTTACAAATAGGTAGCAGCTTGAACAATGGGCCACTGGTCACTCACAGGTTTAATAGCTATTAAACCTGTGAGTGACCAGTGGTCAACATATTTTATTCTGCCCATGCCTGGTGACCTACTAAGCTGGAACTTGATTTAACATTTTAGCATGCTTATACTTGTCTGTGATTAAGCTAAGTGATTAAGAAGAACAGAGGTAATGTTACATTTTACATGTGCAACTTTGAAATTGGATTCAGATTTATAAATAGATATAAAAGGTTACCAAATAGAATAACCTTTCCGGGTTATTTTACCCCAATCGGAGTATTTTACTCCTTTTCTAATCACTAGTGAAGATTAATTTTGTTTATTAACAAGTTTGTGTTTTGCGATAGTATTCATATCGTCTGTGATGCCTTGTTTTGTTTATTTACTCCTTCATTGAATGGGTAGTTTGAAGATGAGCAGAATCTTTACATAGTACTTTATGTAGAGATTTCTCAATTGTTATTGTTGATCTCGTTCAGTACAGTGTTATGTATTCTGTGTATGACCCCACTGTGTAATGACTTTGTGGCATTGTGATATTTTCCTACTCGGAGCAGAAAGGTGTTATTCTTACATCGTTTAATAAGACCGTATCACTAGTGGCCAGTTATCTCACAGATTATAAAAAAAACCATTTGAGTTTTCCATCTACCAAAAAAAAAATCCACAAAAATAAAATGCCACCAAAGTTTCCCTATGCACAGTTTGTATTGTGATAGTGTTTGATTGTGTATTGTGATTATATCGGTGTATGATCTATTATTGTGACATTTCAGTTTATGATCTGTTGACGGGAAAGATTGTAGCCAAGCTGTCAGGACACAACACATGTGTGAGAGATGTGTCCTGGCACCCCTACGAGAACATCATCATGAGTACCTCGGTGAGTGTATGGCCACTTTGTTAACAGTCTTTGTGGCAGAAGTCAACTAGCTGGTGTTATCCATGTCTTATTATGTCTGTGTGCAGTCTTACACACATATCACAATGTTTTTTATATAACCTGATCAGTCATAAAATGTCAATGGTTGCAGTGCATGGGTGAAGATCCCTAGATTCAGAGATGATCTTATTTTTATGTTTGCGAAGGTCCAAGTACCTACCCAAATTTGACATTGGTGTAATCTATGCATAATACTGCTTATGTTACTGTTACTATTAAAACCCCTCAGCTTCTTGTTCTGAATTCAGTTTGATGGCATTTGCAGATTTCTTATTATATAGCAAGAATGTAGACAGTTAGCTGCCTGAGTGCAGTGTTTAATTAAATCAGATGGCTCTGAAACTAAAGCATTAATAGTTCTGAAGACACTCAATTAATTAATGTCAACTTTCTAGAAACACTAATCTGCTGTTTTATCATAAACCTGTATAGCTAATACAACACTATTTCAGTGGGACAGCACTGTAGGTAAATGGACGTACAAGTACCAAGACCCGTCAGATAACGAAGAGACTCAGGAGATGAGCGGTGACGAAGACGAAAATGATTCAGATGAAGAATCATTTAGCAGTATACGGCGTCATCGTCGTAGTAGCGCACGATTGAGAATGCTGCAAAGAAGGAGACGAAAAGCCAACGTCTGTGTAGAGAAATGTGGCCTGCTGGATTAGGTGCACAAGAAACATTTGTGTTAGAGTGATATTGGTATACATTGATATCAAATAGAGTGATATTGGTACATTGTATTGCGTTGATATCAGTTAGGTACATCGATAATAAGAGACAAATGATCACAATGTATTTAGATTAAAACATTAAGTCTTGTAGAAGTGGAAATATTTGTTTTTGGAAAATTCACATTTTCACTCCTCAAACTATTCTTATATTGGAAATATTTGCATTAGCAATGCATTTACAGTGAATATTTTGTCTTATACTAATAGATTTGTGCAGATAAGTTACGAAATAAGCTAAACATTTCAATATCACGAAACTTCCACAGGAGTTACGTCTGGTGTGACTGTGTTGGTAACTTTATATATAGCAGTAACCAAACAGTGTTAACAGGATGATTAGGATCATTTTGTTGATTTTATTATCTGTTTGTTATAAGCAGAGTACTCTTTATTATTGTCCAGTGTGTTGTTTTTGATAAGTACAATAATGGTCATATTCAGCAATATCTATATACCTTTCAGTATTTATGTTAACTAACTTAGTTCAAATGTTTTTATTTCTTAGAAATAGAAGACAACTATAGAATGTTACTGTGCAGACAACTAGAAAAGTTACTGTATAGACAACTACAGAAAGTTACTGTATAGACAACTATAAAATGTTACTGTTTAGACAACTAGAAAAGTTACTGTATAGACAACTACAGAAAGTTACTGTATAGACAACTATAAAATGTTACTGTATAGACAACAACAGAAAATTACTGTATAAACAACTACAGAAAGTTACTGTATACACAACTACAGAAAGTTACTATATACACAACTACAGAATGATACTGTATAGACAACCACAGAAAGTTACTGTATAGACAACTACAGAAAGTTACTGTATAGACAACTACAGAGTGTTACTGTATAGACAACTACATAAAGTTTCTGTATAGACAACTACAGAAAGTTACTGTATAGACAACTACAGAAAGTTACTGTATAGACAACTATAGAGTGTTACTGTATAGACAACTATAGAGTGTTACTGTATAGACAACTACAGAAAGTTACTGTATAAACAACTATAGAATGTTACTGTGCAGACAACTACATAAAGTTACTGTATAGACAACTACAGAAAGTTACTGTATAGACAACTACAGAAAGTTACTGTATAGACAACTACAGAAAGTTACTGTATAGACAACTACAGAAAGTTACTGTATAGACAACTACAGAAAGTTACTGTATAGACAACTACAGAAAGTTACTGTATAGACAACTACAGAAAGTTACTGTATAGACAACTACAGAAAGTTACTGTATAGACAACTACAGAAAGTTACTGTATAGACAACTACAGAAAGTTACTGTATAGACAACTATAGAAAGTTAATGTATAGACAACTACAGAAAGTTACTGTATAGACAACCGCAGAAAATTACTGTAATGACAACTACAGAAAGTTACTGTATAGACAACTATAGAGTGTTACTGTATAGACAACTATAGAAAGTTACTGTATAGACAACTATAGAAAGTTACTGTACAGACAACTACAGAAAGTTACTGTATACACAACTATAGAATGTTACTGTATAGACAACTACATAAAGTTACTGTATAGACAACTACAGAAAGTTACTGTATACACAACTACATAAAGTTACTGTATAGACAACTACAGAAAGTTACTGTATAGACAACTATAGAATATTACTGTAAAGACAACTACAGAAAGTTACTGTATAGACAACTATAGAAAGTTACTGTATAGAGAACTGGAGAAAGTCATTAGTTATAGATAACTACAGAAATTGAACAATATATAATTAGTGAAGGTCATCTATAGATAACTTGAGAAAGCTATTGAATAGACTACAGAAATTGTTTCCTGAATTGCCCGAAATTTATAAAGTGACCGTTTACAAATAGTTTCCATTATCAAACAGATCATATTTCTTCATGACTGTTCATGAGTTTATAAGTAGATTTGTGTGGTTTTCTTTTGGTTGTAGATATAAAGAATCGTCTAACTACAAACTATCAAGACTATGCTGTCCTAACTTGTCTGTACGATATATATTTTGTACATAGACATACATTATTTGTCAGTATGATATCGTGGCCTGTTGAATTTGGTCCTTGTACTATGCAATAGTTTGACCTATGTTGTTGGTAACCTGACAGGTGTGAAGCATAAACAAACTATCCGAAAAATCTCGTACACACATGTGAAACTTGTAAAATAGTCAGCAGGAATCCTTTGAATTTTCTGTTCATTACATTCCTTAAAAGAGTGGGGGATTGTCACTGTTTGAAATTTTGTGTTGGAGCACTGTCACACTTGATTGGACGTTTAGATCTGATGTGCCTTGGTATAGTCATAAAGCAGAGAATTTCTCTGGTAACATTTCAATGAACAATATATCAACAGTTTTTGAAAGATTTAGTGTTAAGTTTAAACACAAGCTGCCTGCAACATTCAAAGTCAAACACGCACCTATTAGTACATGTAGGCTGTGAATTGTTTCCAATTATGCTGGAACAAGAGTTGTACATATGCTTTCTGAAGTAACACAGAGCACTAAATTTATATTTAAAGATAATGCACACCGATATTATTAGTTTTCTACTTTATTTAATTTATTACAGTAACGATTAAGACATAAAGACTTAAGTAGGGTTCTGCCCACTTTCTCCAAATTCTGCTTTTCCCTAGGTGTCTGTTACTCTCTTCATACATTGAAATACATTGTACATATACAATTTATATATGATATAGGTTTGTGAATTTAAAGTTTAGTTATTGTCAAAGTAAATCAGGTTCTCCTTTTGCTGTATCTGAATGAGATCATGGATTATGTACCTGTTTTTTTAATTTATTTTTTAAGAAATGTTTTGTTTTATTTTGTCTGTTATAAGTAAGACTATTTTCATTGTTTTCACTGGATATCTGTATAGTTACTGTAACTATACACACCAGTTCCTTTATTGCATGATTTATTTAAAAAAATTGATATGGTTCAAGAATAGATACAAAAGAAATTATCCATTTTTTTCATATAACTTAACAAGTAATGAGGAAAAAACATAGAGGATTATTTGTATGATGACCATGGATATATCTGGATATATGCTGAACAGTATTGGTATATATATCAGACTTTTGTAAACTTATTGTTGGATATGGATTCCATGTAATTACATTTTACGGTTCGAAAAAAATGTTGGGATGGAAATTTGTCCTCTCATCACCAACACTCCCTGTTAGATGAAAACCATGAATGTAATTTATGATTTGTTTTTTAGCCTTAAGCTCTGGTTGATTACTAATGGTGATATACATTATTATTATGAAACAGTTGTCAGTTTGCTTTTGATTAATACAGATTTAAGCATGCTTTTATGCTCGGTACTGAAAATACAGTCCTGTTTTTCACTTGGTTATTATTTATCCTACAAATACTTCATTGTATGTACATTTGTATTTATTTAAAGTGCAGTCTTTTTAATCCAGTCACTCGTAAAACTTTGATTACCAGATAAGAAAAAAACTTTAGCCGTCACTCACGCACACATCCTTAAATGACCTTAGCTGTTAATAGGAGGTTAAACAAGATGAAACCTAAACCAAACCCAGCAAAAAGTGAAACCAAAAGTGTATTGTTGGAATAATTATATCCCTGAAATAAGCATCTGGAAAGATTTTCAGAAAATATGAGTCCAGCTTTAATGAAGAGAGTATCCACAAAACATACATAAATAATGTTAGTAGGATAACTCAGCATCAACCAAACACTGCTTACAACACATTTAAAGGATCCTAGATTCTAAGAAACTAATGTAGTATAGAAATAAGTCACTAATTGAACCTGGTATTCTATTGTTTCTAAGAAAAAAATGTTGTTTCAGTATCATAAACAAATATAATGCTACTATAAACTATAGGTTAGCTATAAGCTATAGGTTAGCAATACAGGTTAGCTATAAGCTTTTATAAGCTATAGGTTAGCTATAAGATAAACATGTAGGTTAGCTATTTACTATAGGTTAGCTATAAACTACAGGTTAGCTATTAACTATAGGTTAGCTATAACCTACAGGTTAGCTTTACACCATAAGTAAGCTATAAACTACAGGTTAGCTATACACCATAGGTAAGCTATACACTACAGGTTAGCTATACACCATAGGTTAGTTATAATCTACAGGTTAGCTATACACTATAGGTTAGCTGTAAACTATAGGGTAGCTATAAGAAATAGGTTAGCTATAAACTACAGGTTAGCTATAAACTACAGGTTAGCTATACACCATAGGTTAGCTATAAACTATAGGTTAGCTATACACCATAGGTTAGCTATAAACTATAGGTTAGCTATACACCATAGGTAAGCTATAAACTACAGGTTAGCTATACACCATAGGTTAGCTATAAACTACAGGTTAGCTTTACACCATCGGTTAGCTTTAAACTATAGGTTACCTGGTTGCTATAAGTTAGCTATAAACTATAGGTTAGCTTTACACCATAGGTTAGCTATAATTTATAGCTTAGCTATAAGCTATATGTTAACTACAATTTATAGGTTAGATATAAGATATATGTTGGCAATAACTTTAGGTTAGCTATAAGCTATAGATTAGCTATAAACTAAACACAATTTGATTGAATGAACCAAAGAGCCAAGGCTGTGTAATAGTTATATAATTACAGCATGCCAGGCTACCATGGCAAAGAGCCAAGGCTGTGTAATAGTTACTAATTACAGCATGCCAGGCTACCATGGCAAAACACAAAAGTGAATCCCATTTAGTTTCATTTAGGAGCTTATTTGTAAATATACGTAGCCTGAACAGTTTTACTTTTCCCATACAATGTAAAAAAAAATTTTTTTATTGAAGACAATATGACACCCATTAATTGTATGTAGAAGGAGTTCTGTGTATCATTAATAGGATGTACAGTTGATGGTTGAGTAACCCCCTGGATACTCAGATTTGTTGATACAAGGGATGTGACTGCTGAGATTCTGACCCAAAAACATATAACTAGGGATGGAATTTTCATATCCAATGTACCCACATAACAATTTGATTTTTCTGTCAGATAGAATTGATAAAAAATAATAATCCTAAAAAATGATGAGGTTGCTGTGTATCATACTGGAATGTGACAAAATATTTTTTGTTCACGGTGATGACATTTACAATATATTTTCATAACACTTAAATACTTTTCCTTAGAGATTGTTCTTCATCCATTTTCAAGAGACGTATTTATCCCACACAATAAGTTATAGGAATAGTGTATATAATCCTGGAAAACTGCAGTGCTCAGTACTTGGTCCTACTTCACCTTTCAGAAGATGTCCCAGAGGTACCCTAGTTGTTTTTATATCCCTACTTCACCTTTCAGAAGCGGTCCCAGAGGTACCCTAGTTGTTTTTAGAATCCCTACTTCAACTTTCAAAAGATGTCCCAGAGGTACCCTAGTTGTTTTTATATCCCTACTTCACCTTTCCTTAGCAATCCCAGAGATATACTAGTTGTTTCCTTAGCAATATAATAAGTACACCTCTATCACATGTAAAAATTTATTTTAATCCAGGGAGTCAGTATAATACTGTAGTTTTAGAACCATGTCTATAATCCAGATTAAAGATTACTCAACTGCACAATGAAGATATTTTTTTCAGACATTTTAGTCCTTGAACTCTGAAATAATCACCCTGAAATAATTGGGGGGGGGGGGGGGGATTATTGATATCTGCATTAACCAACTTCTAGTGAAATTACAAAGAGATTTAATTGTTATTGATTGTCAAGTTTGTAAATACATGTAGCATTATTAGAATAAAAGATGAAAAAGATGAACATGTATTATTTATAACCAAAAAGTCATAAAATGAAATAAAATGCAATCAAAAGGAAATGAAATTTGTTTTGTTTAGCTCACCTGCCTGAGGGGAAGTGAGCATATGCCGTTGGATGTTGTCTGTCATCCTTTTGTCTATCAATTTTCCCTTCAAAATGTTACTTGTTCAAAGGTACCCGCCAACCTACTGTAGACAAGAGCGCTCTGTCCCTTTGGAACTTAGTTGCTGGGTCAAAACATAGACATGGTCCAGATCTCCACCTCACAACCATATATACAAGGGTTGTTTGAGAACCCCATTGCCTGCCTAGTAGAAGAATGGTTTGAAAACTAACTCGGTCCAAAACAGGTGAAAATAAAGAATTCTTATTTTCACTTTTGTACAATAATCGTATACACCTCGGGAACCTCCTGCCAAACATCACCAACCTGATAGAAATCTTAATTATTACCATATTCATATTTTATTGTTTTAATGAACTAGACTCGTGGCCTTAAAATAGGTAAAGGTAATTTGTTTAGCAAACTTTGTACCACTTCAAACTGGCAAATCAACATGATTCTCGTCCTTTTGGTTCTTCAGAAGAGTTAATTTGAGTGAATTAACAAATTGGTTTAAGTCATTAGTTTTTAGGTCACCTGAGCTTTAGCTCAAGTGACCTATTGCTATCCGTTTTCGTCCGTCGTCATCCGTCGTCCGTTAACATTTTACATTTTAAACTTAAAGTCAAGTTCTGCTGGACCGATTGAACTGAAAGTTGGTAGGAATGATCGCCTCATGGTCCTGACAAAGTGTTGTTATTTTTCGGGTCGATCAGAAATCCAATATGGCCGCCACGGCCGCCATTTTGAAAACCTATTTCAAACTTAAAGTCAAGTTCTGCTGGACCGATTGAACTTAAAGTTTGTAGGAATGATAGACTCATGGTCCTGACAAAGTGTTGTTATTTTTCGGGTCGTTCAGAAATCCAATATGGCCGCCACGGCCGCCATTTTGAAAAACTATTTCAAACTTAAAGTCAAGTTCTGCTAGGCCGATTGAACTGAAACTTTGTAGGAATGATCGGCTCATGGTCCTGACAAAGTGTTGTTATTTTTCGGGTCAATCAGAAATACAATTTGGCTGCCATGGCCGCTATTTTGCTACTAAATTCTAATAGGCCGATCTCACTTAAAATTGGTCTAGGAATGATCAGCTCATGGTCCTGACAAAGTTAAGTTAACATTATACTATTTTTTACTCAAATTGGAACATATTTCAACAAAAAAAAATAATACTGTAGACTCAGGTGACCGTTAAGGCCCATGGGCCTCTTGTTAAAAACTTTGAAGCACTTCATGCTGGCAATCTTCAAGACAATCAACATGGCTCTTCTCTTGACCTTTTGGTTCTCGGAAGAGGTAATTTCTGTTTTCCACAGGTTGTAAGCTTCAGGTCAATCTTCATAATTCTAAGACATTTAGGTTCATCAAAGAGGTCATTTAAGTGCATGAAAAAAATTGATTTCAGTGACTTTGAACATAGGTTAAGGTCAGTTTGTTTAGAAAACTTCTAAGCATTATATGTCAGCAAGCTAAAAGTCAATCATCACAACTCTAGACGTTTTGGTTATTCAGAAGAATTTATTTGAGTGTATTACAAATTTGACTTCTGTGACCTTGAATCACATCACCTAGGAATACTTCTTACCAAATTTTGTTGTAACTGGCCTAGCGGTTCTTGAAAAGAAGTGGTTCAAAGACCAAGTTTACAGATGTACAGCAATGGACTGCAATAGCTAAAGGTGATTTTTTTTCAAAAAAAGAAATACTCCACATGTGATATGAGTGAAAATGGTTTATTGTTATCTGTTAAACACCAATACATGATGATTTAATTTTCTTCATTAGAATGACTACAATTTATTAAAAATGATCATAGAAACATTGCAAACATTTTTGTATTACCTAAAGGTAATAGAACTATTAAGGCTCCATCCATTAGCTGCCATTGACCTCTCCTGCTATCACTCTTAGCATACTGATTAGAATGGCAATTGAACAATTGATAAGTCATTCCTATTTTGTACAAAATTACCAATTTTTACCAAGTGTTTAGCCCATTTATTTGTTGAACCAATTTTACAGATGAGGGTCATCTTGAGAGTACTCACTTTAACCCTCTCTGAGAACAATTGGCCTCCTGGACTCAACACAGGCATAACATGGTACATAAGGTACATGTAACAAAAAGTTTTGATCTAAACCCAAATTGTCTGACACAATCTAAGATGTTTTTATTCTCCACTTTGAAAGGGAATTCTTCCAATTGAATATTAAAAAAAAAGTGAATGTGATGTTTGAGTCAAGTGTCATAGAATCTTGCATCACAATTCAGTTTGATTGGTTTTGTCAAACATTTGCATGATGATGATTATAATGAAGCAACATTTGCAAATAAAATATTTATAAAATAAACGTTAGAATTTTCATTCAAATATATATATTTTTTATTATAAATCTATACATATCTTTTTCTATATCTATACATTATATGTACAAGAATTGAACATAAACAGAAATTGCATACTTTAATGACTCATTTTCACATTATATGTGAGATATCCACACAGCTACACACACAAAAACACACAACACACATACATACAGTGTATGTAACACTACTACCACAGCCTAGAACACACATACCTGGCCACACAGAGATTTTTATATTTCCGATAGAAATTACTTTCTTACTTCTCTCAGATGTAGAACAAGGAATGAATTCATAGCAATTACAGTGAATTTTTGTTGATCTTAGAAAACCACTATAGTAGAAATATCCACATTTGTACTATATTTCCTGCAGTCCATCTTTAATAATTTGGTATAAATCACCAATCTGTCTTGGCAAAAAAACCTTATTTTTTTACATTTAAAAAAACTGAGAAATCCAATTTTGAGGGGTGCACATAAGTTTGCTCATGGAAATTTTCTGTAACATACATATATTAATAACCATAAATGTATCATGAAGGGACTGTATTGATTATAAAACACTAATAAAGAAATAAAAAAAAAGCATTGAAAGAGGTCCCTCAAGGTAGCTGGGTGTCATTCGTGAAAAAAGTTTCAATTTCTGAAAAAGGGACAGCTTCTAGGGGTAGCAATGAGAAAAACTACATTAGGGACTGCTGTCTATCTGGTAAGCATTGAGCAACACTAGCTAGGACAGTACAAAGTTTGAGATCAATAGAGTAACAGTATCATACACACACAGCTAACTAACCTATAGGTTAACAGGTAGGCAGTACAGTTAGTAGACAGATGATAGAAACATTGTAAATATAGCTTGATAATACGAGTCATTTTTTTAATTTCATTTTTTTGTTGTTGTACCAAGGCAGGGATTAAATAATATATGAATTTCATTAATGTTTTTTTCTGTTTTTTAATCAATTCTTACATCATGTGATCTATGCTTCCATTATACTGAACTAAAATTAGAGAGAAAACATAACACATTCCACATGGTGGTCTCCAATGTCATCATTGGGATTCCCTGTAAAAATATGGTATCCAAAATTCATTTGATGCCAATTAACAATAAAAAATCATTGTAAGCCAATTAACAATATCAATTGTCATACAATGTTTAAATTAACATTGTGACAATTACAATTTATATTAGTCCAAATTAACTATATGTCAGTTTTAAATCATATTTATTGATAAATATGTTTCGAAATTACTGGTAGAAAAATCCATTGATTTATTGAGAAATTCTCTGACAGAAAACTCAGAACAAAAGCCTCCATGGAATCCAATCAAGCAGAAGTTTAAGTTCTGTATAAATTAAGTTGATTAATTAAGTGTATTTAGTGAACTGTTGAAAGTATCAGTATCATTTCATTTCATCAACAGACTGTTTTCTAGATTATCATTCCTTCACATTATGTAATCTATAAACAATGGCCATACTTTGTATATATTGGTGTACAAAAATTACTGACTAGGTGATATGTTGAGCAATCGACATGGTCTAAATTATTTGTCTTTAAACATTGTTTTTATTTCTATTTTCATAGAATAAACAACTGACAATTAAGTGTAATGTAACAATTTACAAGCAAACATAATATAAATGTTGGATGGTAGTAAGACAATGTATGTGTATCATTATAAATGAACAACAAAATTAAATTGCATTGATTTGGTCATTTCTCTCTCACAAAAAAAGCATGCAAGAACATCCGAGCACCAACCTGTTTAAATCTGCATAATAAACATGTGTATCACTGGCCCCACCAGTGACAATAAAACAATGTGTACATAGGTATGTGATAGGTAATTAGACAATAGACACCAGGGTAACTATTGACCTCTCACCTCGTTAATAAGTACGTACTTATCCACTACAGTAGGTCCTTCATATAGCGTCCCTCTTTTCATTTGCCGCCTGCTTCCCAACAACATCTTTAAATGTCCCCTTTCTTTTTTTCTAAAAAAACTTCCTTATATGTCTCCCTCTATAAATATCACCAAACCTCTTTATAATGCCGAAACTTCGCTGGACAGATGAAGGTAGAATATCAAGGTTTTAGAATACGAATTAAGTCTAGAGAGCTAGTGGTCTCTCCATACAGACAATGTACATTTAGTTTGGGCAGGATCTATTTTTTTAATTATTTGATTGCTGCATTAGTTTTATTGTAGTCAAAATTAAGTCTACCGGTATTCACATGGGTTTTCTCAGGGTACTCCAGATTCATTCATATTAAGAACCCCTGCACGCTTCAATCCTAGTCAACAAGTGATTAATATAAACTGAAAAACTTGTTATATTATTGTTGTAAAACAATGATATATGAAATCGATTCTCTCTACAATGATCACACTGTATCCTAAAACAACCTTTAGCTCCTTGTAATCAACATAAAATGAATGGTGTTCAGTTTTCAGCTCCATAAATGGCAAGTAAAATTAGCAATGGCGCTGCTACACTTATGTTTTCTAGTACGTCATCTTTAACAGTTATGTAAATGTGGTCAGTGCTAAACAAATCTGATCCAATATTCAAACAAATTAATGCATCAAGGAATATTTATAACAAATTGGATGAATGAATTAATGCAGAAATGCAAATATGGACAATGAACATTTAAAACAAACTTAATACATCTATTTCAGCAATATTTGTTTTCATGGTACTGTATTTGCTATGAGCGCTCCTCCTCTTTGAAGGACCCGTCCCATTTTTTGGGCACTAAATGAAATTAAAAGTGCCCCCTTTCCCAAACAGTTCTGGCCCTCTCTGCTCAACAAAACATAGAACTATATCCCCTTTTATATTGGACATTATAATCTTGCTATTTAACAAAGTTGAAAAGAAATTAATTATCCCTCGAAATGTTCGGATATCCTAATAAGAGCCCCTTAACATCACCTTTCCATAAAGAACATCATTTACATTACCTTTCCATAAAGACCACCCTTTACATTACCTCTCCATAAAGACCACCCTTTACATTACCTTTCCATAAAGATCACCCTTTACATTACCTCTCCATAAAGACCACCCTTTAAATTACCTTTCCATAAAGACCACCCTTTACATTACCTCTCCATAAAGACCACCCTTTACATTACCTCTCCATAAACACCACCGTTTACATTACCTCTCCATAAACACCACCCTTTACATTACCTCTCCATAAAGACCACACTTTGCATTACCTCTCCGTAAAGACCACACTTTACATTACCTCTCCATAGGTGTACTTGACCTAATTATGGTGAACGTATACTTTGTATATCACTGAAGTACATGTATATATGCAATGATTCTTTGTCAAACAAGTATCAAATATTTGGTTTATATAGAAACTTCTGGTTTAAAACTGTGTAATCCACAATACAATCATAACAGACGTTTATACAAGATTTATGGCATTTCAAAATCAAACATTTACAAATACATGAACTTTTCCTAATATAGTCTAACAATAAAGGCAGTCACTGATGATGTCACATGGAGATATCAGGACATATATAACAACAATATTCATACTGCATTAGTGGTTCAAAGTCATCAAATAAAAATCACTGAGTCACATGAATCTGATTCTATCATCAAATTAATCATCATCATGTGTACACTATATGGAAGCACAATGTCTTTTTGCAGGCTTCTCATGACCAGGTCACATGACCCTGCCAACAAAGATGGCTAACAATGTCTGGAAGTGTTTTATGGAAGTCTGGTGTCAACTCTGTCGCAGAGTAATCACGACCAGCTCAGATCAAAATAGCACCGGAAGTCTCTCCAGCCTAAAGGAATGTTAGGTGTTTTATACATTGCAACACAAAAATAAACAAGAAACAATTGCTCAAAATTCTTTACCAAATCTGGTACTTATAGTTACCAAACTTAAAACTTCGTAAAGAGGAGCTAAAAGTTAAAGTAAAGTTCATTTTGATAAAATGAGTTTTAAAAACACTAATTCATCACAGCACTTCCTGTTTGAACCTCTGTTGTGGCGTCATTGCCACCTTGTAAGATTCTGAGGTTGTGGGGAGGGTGGGAGATGCCACTGGGCTGCGTCCATTGTGAATGTGAATTGTTCCGTGGTCTAACATGGCCCCAGGTGTACTACACAACAGGTGGTCTGCAGTCAGAGATGAAGTGGACATATGTTCTATGGGATTGTGAAGCAGGGATAGCCCCAGAGGGGGACTATGACTGGATGTAGGGGACATGTGGGGAAGTTCCATCCCCTGAGGCATGGACAGGTGGTCAGTCATAGGATCCTGGAAACTGGACATGTCCAGAGATGGCTCGAGTGAGGTGGGTGTTGTTGAAGCTGAGGTGGGATCTGCCGCTGCTCCTGCTGCTCCTATAGAAAACAACAGGGGTTGTTAAGATACAAGTTTATGTAAAATTCCTCATATTTAATCTTTGTTCTGCAAAAAAGTTTTTTGGTTCAATTTTCTAAATGTCAAAAAGCTTCACTGTAGAAATGTGATTTATCATCAAAAATATTACAATTAGATCATAAGTATGTTTCTTCAAGTCTTGAAAATAACAGGACATGGTTTTAAGATATTCTCCCTGGTAAACAAAAATAATGAATTAACTATATCCTTTTGATCATAATATATATGTTTATATACTGTGGTATGCATTTTGAGCAATAAACTCCATATCTTATCTGCAGGGAGGAAAGGTCAGATCCGGTGCACAAAATATAAAGATCGAATTAAATAACTTACCTCCTAGAAGCATTTCTTGAAGGAGATTGTCAATATGTGCCATTCCAAACAGTTTTGCAAACTGAACCTGTTCTATCATCTGCCAGGTTATACTCTGAAGGGGAGGTAACAGGAGGAGGATCTCCCCAAAGCGCCCTCTAGTGTCATACTGACGATCGTTTATGTAGTCCTCTAAATTTATTTGGATCTGGTAACGGAAGGTCTTTATCCTCTGGGTATCACTCAAACCCTTTGCATCTACAACAAATAAATGAAGGCAATGAAATAATACACATTCCTCGGTTATGAATTAACGTCCTGGAGTACTGTACAGAAAAAGAAAATTGTAACAGCAAGAAGTACAGGATGGTGAAAATACCTTTTGCATATTATTTTCGTAAACATTTTGTATTTCTTGTTCTTAATTGTTTGATCATCAAGCTGACAAATTGGATGGTTACTTGTTCGGAACTTTTTTCAAGTAACCAGTTTGATAACCCTATTTCTTAGAAGTACATGTGTATTATGATTCTTACCTGGATCAAAAAAGACAATAGCTTTCATGCAGGCGAACTCCGAGTCATCTATTTGTACCTCCCTCAGAGGCGCTGAAAGTTCATCTAGGATTCTTGAGGCTACACGACCCATGTCTGCATCTTGACAATGGCGGGGAATGACGGCATCATTGCCAAGCAACAGCATATCACTTGATGACATTGATCGCCTGGCACAACCAAGGACTAAATGTTCACCAGCATGGGCACGAAGGAGAGCAACCTGAAACAAGTAAAGAAATAGTTCAGGCTACAATATAACTGCACTTTAACAATTGTATAACATGCAAGATGTCAGCAGATGTCAGTACATCTTTATACAGCTAGGTTATTATATAAATCAACATCTACAAGTGTATTCAAGTCTTATCACTGAGTAAACTATAATATGGTTGTTTATTCATTTTAGTTTGATAAAGAACTGAAAGAAGAGTCCTAAATTTGCATATGGGTTGATGTATTAGCTAGATTTACGTATGGGTTGATGTATAAGCTAGATTTGCGTATGGGTTGATGTATAAGCTAGATTTGCGTATGGGTTGATGTATAAGGTATTGGTTTGTCATGCAATAATATTTTTATATGTATGTATTTGAGTACAAATATTAAGTTTATGCAGTCTTTCATGTAAAATAACCCTTGGCCTGAATACATCACATTAAATACATGTTGCCTTGAATACATTATATGAAGTAGCCCTGAACACATTACATAAAATAGTTTGTAAAACAACCCTGTAGACAGTATACCAGGTATTAAACATATGATCACAAGTGAAAGCTATTTATATATATAAATATATGCAAAAAATGACATACCTGGTCATCTAATGGAAGTTCACAAAAACAGGGAATGTATTTGGCCCACTCCACCAGTACCAGGAGCTGTTGTTTCATGGACTCTGCCACATCGTCTGTGGTTGCCACATTTCTCTGGGCCACGTCTAACACTCCAATGGGAGAGGTGATCTGTACCAGAAAACACATGCTTTTACAAAATCTTGTGATAACCACGTTATCTTTAATCTTATTTACATTTTTGAATTCCTATCTTTATGCTTGCTTCCTACATACGCTGTCTTACTGTGTAAGTAATACAGTGATACAACTCTTGACTATATATTAATATATAGCATGAGGTATTTTACAAAAAACCCATGATCAATTACAAACAGATACTATAAGTAAACCATATTACATGTACATTCAATGCTCCAAACTTTTGCCCTCTGGTCCTTGCAAACAATTTGCCAAGTATTCAATTTTCTCCTGTACATAACTAGTAATGCTAATTATGGAAAATATGTTTGCCATGTGTTATATTCACCATTTTGTTCAAGGGTGAAAAAAGGGGCAAAGATATCTTGGTTCACAGTGTCTTTATATAAATACCATTTACAAAGTCAAAACAACATCCAACTAGCCATATGCATCCAAACAGGACATACCAGATTGTCAGTAATTATTTACACCATCCACACACAGTAATGTCTGTATAGAACTACTGAAGACAGATAACACAAAGGGTGGTCTTTATGGAGAGGTAATGTAAATGGTGGTCTTTATGGAGAGATCATATAAATGGTGGTCTTTATGGAGAGGTAGTGTAAAGGGTGGTCTTTATGGAGAGGTAATGTAAAGGGTGGTCTTTATGGAGGGATCATGTAAAGGGTGCTCTTTATGGAAAGGTAATGTAAAGGGTGGTCTTTATGGAAAGGTGATGAAAAGGGTGGTCTTTATGGAGGGATCATGTAAAGGGTGGTCTTTATGGAAAGGTAATGTAAAGGGTGGTCATTATGGAAAGGTAATGTAAAGGGTGGTCTTTATGGAAAGGTGATGTTAAGGGTGGTCTTTATGGAAAGGTAATGTAAAGGGTGGTCTTTATGGAGAGGTAATGTAAATGATGTTCTTTATGGAGAACCAGCTGTTATATAACAGGAGGTTTTTAGGTGTAATGGTAACTTCAAACCTACCTGTCGTGATAGTATTTCTGCATTTAATAGTGTGCTGACTGACAGGGTTATGTTCTGTCCTACATCCTCGTAACTCGTCCGCCGGACACTGATCCTGTCCCGCTCATTCTGTACAGCTTTAAATATAAAAGTTTGTCAGTATTGGTCACTCACAACATCTTACGATGCTTACTAGTACACAAAAGCACAGTATTATTTAGCGCATTCAACATCACATTTTAGTCGTATTCTGATTCTATATAGCGTAATGAGTTAGTCAAATTACAGAGGTTGTCTTCTGAGAAATATATAACTACAAGACTCTGTAGATATATAAAGTGAATAGTCTGTACCAGTTCTTATCATACTTAATTATTTTCTTGCAAAGCTAATTTTTTGAAGAAATCAAAGTATCAACACAATCTCACCTTCTTTTTTCATGCCCGCACGGAAACACTTGCGTAGCCGACAGTAACGACATTGGTTACGTTTGTCTTTGTCCACTACACAGTTCCGACTGAAGCGACATGTGTACACATGGTTTTTACGCACACTGCGTCTGAAGAATCCCTTACAACCATCGCAGCTGGAGGCTCCGTAGTGTTTACCCGTCGCCCGGTCGCCACATATAGCACAGTACTGGCTCATCCCGTGGGTCGGGGAGGATGGGTTGGAGGTCACCGGCATTGGTCCCAGGGCACCCATGCTCATCTCCGGGGAGTCTGTAAACACACAAGGTAAGTCTCATTTCAATTTGTGTCCTTCTTAAATATCTGGAGAATTATAATGTTAATTAAAGTATAATTACCTGAATACTTCTAACAACAAAGGGTAGAGTAGGAAAAATTGCAAAATTAATAAATTGATTCCAAACGATTTTCTATATCAATACATCAATGGTATACAATTAAACAGTAAATAAAAGCAAACAAGTAAAAACTGAAAAATTTGGAAGTGAAGAATATTTTCATTATGAGCATGTACGTAAGTGATCCTAAAATAAGTACATTAAATATTTTTGTTACACAACATAAGTTTATCAATACATTCACACTGTAATACACGAACTGCAAAACAATGTGTAGCCTTAAATACTGAACAAAAAACTGTATATCAAATTAAAATCAGCAACGACCACTTCATCCTCATCAGGTATTCCTATTAAGGTCTTTGATATCGATATAAAACATGATCCTCAGGGAAACATCTGACGGTGACATCTGACTACGATTCTAAACCACCAATCGAATGAGCTGTATCACAGTTCTGTTAAGTCGCAGTGTCACTGTTAGCCTTATTCTAGACAAACAGTAACTTGTATGAACAATGGGGTTCTTCAGATAACGTATCATCCTCCTAACCCTCCACACGACTGACTAGTACTTACAGGTCTCTAGACGCTCCTATTAACCATTATGTTGAATCCTAGCCGTTGGTGCTATTATCTCTATATATAAACAATCCGCTATAACAGTAAGTGGATTATCTCATAAACATTGGGGTACCAGTGAAGCATCTTAAGGACAAATTAACAAAATGTTTACCTGTGTATTAAATTATGTTCTTTAAATTAGAATAAATAAAAACAATTAACTGCAAAGTCTTGCATAATTAAAAAAAAACAACGAAAAATTGAGAGAAAAAAACCTAAAATAAGTGACAGCTGGCAGAGGCCCTATAATCATGATTTCAATTTGAGGTAATTGAACATATTACATTACAGGTGATATACAAAATGTACAACCTGTTTTAGTGACTTGAAAATGAAGGTATACAATATATTTTGTATGATGTATGATAGTTATTTGTATCATTTGATATAAATGTATTTACCCAGTAGTTAAGACATGAAAATATTAACCGACTGTACATCCAATTGGAATACATTGGTTCTGTGCAGGATGATGTTAATGAACAGTCTAGTCTGTGTAAATATTCTTATTTCAAAGTTTTAGAATTAAAAGCATGTATCTTCGTATAAATGGTAATGCTGTAGGACCAGTAAAGCTAAATTACTGCGTATAAACACTATCAATGTCTTGCATAGGACTGTACCAGTATCATCATAGGAATTCCATTTTGATCAACAGACTATTCACAACTAAAGCATCGCAAATTTTGTAGGAGAAGCATCAATCACAAATCAGCTAATATCAAAACATAATATTGTTTCTAAATATAGGTATATTCAGGAATCAGCCATCAAAGATGATGTCAAATCTTGTACAAATACTGTTATTACCTGTTAATCAATCCTCTTACCTGGATCATAGTAGTACTCCCGTGGGATCTGAGATTGTAGGTATGAATACAGCATGGCAGTCACAGACAATAGGCTTCAAACACTTATATTAATTTCAACTTCCTAATTGTTTTTATGAAGATAATTTATAGCTTAAAAAATAAATATACTACTTTTCAGCAATTTATAAAAATTCATAATAGTTCAAATGTTTGTAGTATAGAAAATGCTTAGCTAAGCTGAATGTGGTTCTTCCTCGCTCGCTCACCGGTATGGTAGTAACCATGAAAGTACCGTACCATCAATTTATAACATGGAATACTTAAGCTGACATCCATATAAGGTATGATGAGATAACGAGGTGCGAGGCCTAACACTTTACACACAGTTCCGCTGATGACAAGTCTGTACACCTCTGATAGCCAAACAGATAGAGCATCACCAACCAAAACTCTTATCAACGATTCCTAACTCTTTCCCTGGGACGACAGGTGAAGGACAGCCCCTCCCCTCATCTCACAGGTGTAGCCCTGCCCCTCCCCTTTAGCTATCGGCTACCTGTTTCCCTTATCTTGGCTGGGGGCCTCCCTACCTGTAGTTTGTAATAAGTGTTCTCCGAGGTAAGTTTTGGTTAATCACTATTTATCTCCCCTTATCAGTGTGGTCACACCATGTGATTTAGTACCAGAACTGCGAGGAAAGAGACATTCCGAGGTCCTCCTTACTCTACTATAGATATTCTCAATACTCCAATCTTAAGTGGGCCTCATATGTGACAACTTGTTTACTAGTGTAATTCTAAATGTATTCAATTTGTATCACGTTGTCTTAGCCTTTAATTCTTAATTGTTTTCTCTAGCCCTCCATTCCCACACAATACTTGATTTGTTTGGTAAGAGAATGCTTTCCAAGTTGAAGTCATTCAGAAAATTAATTGGATACAGAAGATATCTCATTTAATATACAGCAAAATTAACTGTCATAGATAAAAACACATGAGGAAATAGACAGGGTTTTCATGATATTGTTATAAGTTTAATTGTAATATATTTTGACTCCTTAAATTTATTACCTTTATTTTACTATGAGAGTACTTTACACCTGTGCATTAATTTTAATCTTCAAATTCAATGGCTAAAAATCTTTTGCATAACTAGTTTTAAAAAATTACATAAAATTACTACTCAACATCAAGGTGTGCAAAATGTTTGGGTTTTTCCAACACTGCTTGTGTGAATCATAGGTTTCCACATGTTTGGAAATTCCATTAAATATAACACACCCAGAATTATAATTTATGAAAAACAACTTTTGTTTGTTCACAATCATAATGACTACTTGATCTAGCATTGTGTCAGCTACACATACACACCGACCAACGATCTTTCCAATGTCGATAAAGATAAGACGTTCCAAATCCGTAACTGATCTTGAAGAACCCCATCCCCAGACATTTTTCACCGACCCACACATCTCCGAGGACTGAAGGAGAGGTCATCCCGCGACTATTCACACCCTTAGAATCAAACATGAAGACCCTGTGTCCCTATAGAGCAGTACATGGGATATGAAAAGTTGAGTAAATACCATTCACTTCTGATAGTTCTTAACTCCTTTAGCTAAAATAATGAGTTTAATTGTGCTAACAAAAATCCACAACTCTAAAATACACATACATTGCTTTTCCAATAAATCAGATTTGTTGTTAATTTTCTTAGGATTCATACTTAACACATTGTAGGTTATTTGTAATAACAGGTCTCGATATCAGGAAACGTTTTTAACTCTGCTATTCCCCATCAAGTCAAGAGGTGCTTTCCTGACATAAACTCATAAATATCTACCATTTTGATAAATGTTTGCGGAAAGAAGCCCTTAAAAAAAAGTGATTTTCAGAATTGAGAATGATCTTGAAGTTTAAAAGCTTAGTGATAAAATTTGGGCAAGGGTGTTCAGAATTTGAAAGGAAAATCTCACAAGTTGTTCATTTTGTAGCACAATAAATATTAAGAAGAAAATAAATATCCTAAATGATGGAATTGGTGAAAGCAGATCAATAATGGTCTGGTTTCTCCCTAAGCAGATGACAGAGAACATCTACAATGTCCTTAAGCAGAAGACAGAAATATTCTGTAGCACAATAGATATGTGGCTGTTTTGTCATATGTAATCTGTTAAAACACATGTACTGTGGCACAATTTGACTTTCTCCCTTTGAAGTAATCAACCTAACAATGCTTCCTTGCTACATTAAGCTTGCTTTATATAATATTGCCATTGTGAAGCCCAAAACATTCATCCTTTTAACTGATAAAATTGATATTTTTTCCATTGAAGGACAAATACGTGACTGACAGGGCAGATATATATTAACTATTGGCAGTGCCTTCTGTTAGATGATAAATCAAAGTCATAAAAGTCATACATCTATATATGAAGAATCAATAATTTACAAACTTGAACTGTTGAAGAAATGTGTAAAGCTACAAAATTGGTACCGGTGAACATTTACCACAGTCTGAGAAGGACTACTTGACATTAGTATTTATACGACCAGGTACACAGCCATACAAGGTCAAACCAATGTTCAGCAGCCGTTCAGAACTACAGGCCCCCTGCTAGGTGTGTAATACCCAGGGTCTGTTTGTTTTGGATGTCACTGACATCTATCTGGTCATTTAATCCACAGTTTGTTTGTAATGGGCAGAAGATGACCACTCCACTCTGCTGACATTCCATCGCAAGGTGAATGTTGGGACTGAAATGATATGTCCCCACTCAGTCCTCAACAGGTGTTCAACAGAGGTGACAGAGAAATCAGTGGGAAAACCCGCCCCGCACCCCTCCCTGCCCCAAAATACCCAGACCTGAGGGTCGGTCCCCACTCCCCGCACCCCTCCCTGCCCCAAAATACCCAGATCTGAGGGTCGGTCCCCACTCACCACAACCTTACCTGCCCCATAATACCCAGACCTGAGGGTCGGCCCCCACTCACCGCAACCTTACCTGCCCCAAAATACCCAGACCTGAGGGTCGGTCCCCCCTCACCACAACCTTACCTGCCCCATGATACCCAGACCTGAGGGTCGGTCCCCACTCACCACAACCTTACCTGCCCCATAATACCCAGACCTGAGGGTCTCCGCTTCCTGCCCCTGACCTTACCATACCTTTGCCCAGGCTTTGCCATAACCAAGTCCCCTCTAGCCCTGCCCCTCCCCACATTTTCTGCTATTTCAATGACATTGCCCACACATCCTTACCGTACCCTTACCCAGTCCCCCATCTATACTCAAACATTTTACTTATCTGGAGCCCTCCCTACACTTTAACATTACCTTGATCTGTTGTCCTCCCTACACTTTGACATTACTCTGGTTTGGTACCCTTCCTACCCTGACATTACCCTGACCTCGTCCCTGGCCCCCGTCCCCTACCCCCTACCCTTGCCTTGGGAATACCCTTACCTTGCCCC